CAACGCTTTTATATTTTTTTTTTTTTTTTTTTTTTTTTTTTTAAATGATGCATCTCCAAATATTCCACCAATTCTTCTCAGATTCAGCTGAATTTGTTCGCTTTGAGGCCGTTAGTCATCCTAGTTATTCATCATCTTTTAAGTGTAATTCGTCAGGCGTCTCGGAGGAAAATTTAATGTACTTTTCTGATGAGGAAACGTCTTTTTAAAAACTGCAGCTCTTCTTGAAACCTGGTGTAAACCTGATCCTTTTGCTTCAGCTTTGACCAGGATGGATTGCTTCCACCAGATCTGCTTTCATCACGGCGGTAAAAGACAGGTCAAGGTTGCATTGTTTGGTTGTCACGGTAACCTGCAGGTTAAGAAGCTGTCTCTCCTCTGAGCTAACCTTCTGTCTGCCTCTTCAACCCATCAACATGTACGATTAGGTTAATGCGCGCCATCTTCTGTGCCTGCCTCTACTTTTGTCTTTTTAACTGTGAAGAGACACTTAATGAGCCAATCGGAAACGGTTATCTCTCAGGGCAAAGTCAAAGATTATCCCTTTCTGTTTTTGTGGAAAACATGGACAAAGCAGAACAGATGTTGAGTTGATAGTGCAGGCTGTCGGCTGGTTAAAAACTCAAAATGTTAAAAGAAAGAAACAATATGTTCTGCAGCTCATTGCCGACTTTATAAGAGTCATAAAGCAAAGAATCAATTTCGCTCACATCTAAGTGGCGTCACATTGATGTAAGTGGTTTTTAACCTGAATTAATAGCCAAACTAATTGAGCATGTGGCCGCGCATTAAAAACATTTATCTTCAGCATACGTCTACTTTATGCAGCAGTTGGTACCAACTTAAAGAGCTGCCTCGTTGCTTTTATGTTTGCATTTAAAATTAAAGGCCTATCGTTTCCTGAAGGAATGCATGTCGCCCGCTCTTTTCATGCCAGAACATATAAAGGTAGACGCCGAATAGTTAACAGAACATTTGTAAGGAATAGCTTTTGTTTAATGTTAAGGCTGAGAATGTGTTTTGGGGATCAGTCTCAGCTACTACACCAAACTTTAGCTTAATAAATCCAAAGTTAAATAAGTTATAGCCATTTTTGTGTGTTTTAAGGTCTGCTGGCTGTTTGCTTGACACCATAGGTCATCTAGTTGTAGATTTTCATTTCATTCATTTTTTTACCTGCTTTTGCCTTTTGCCAGCAGACAATGATGAATGTTAATTTTAGTTGCTGCAACATATGCCTCAATTACCTTCCACTCAAATCCCTGTCATGTAATTATTATTTCAGTGCTCTGAAGCGTTCAGTGTTATTCCACTAAAACAAATACTCTTAAACTTAATAACCTTTCATGTGAGCGTTCCAGCTTTCCTCGTAGACGAAATGAAGAATTATAATTAATTCCAACATGATACATTCCTAATGGATGCTGTTCTATGAAGATGAATCCAATGCAGTATTTACTGGGAACACTTCCTGTGTCCTGAAGTACAGTTTTGCTCATGAATAATATAAACATTTGATCTAAGGACACCAGAGGAAAGTGAGATGAAAATATCCGTTTTTTCTTCCGTTTTTTAATGAATTTGCAATCTTTAAAGGCAATGTTGTTTGATTTTATTAAGACGTGTGCCAGAATTGAACTGATTCAACAAACGGGTCGCTGCCCACTTCTGTTAAAACGCACACGAGTAAACACCTTCACTAATCGGCCATGATCATCAGACCTGTCTTTATTTTGGTTTGCTCACGTGATGAAACGATGCTCATTGGTGTCAGGGCCGTTAGGGCAGGGAAGTACAGAAGACCTACAGAGTCCAGAAAAACCATCTCTCAAGCTTCTGATGCATGATGGGAGTGATTTACCGATTGCCTTACGACCCTGATCTGTTGAGATTTTTAGATAAGGAGAGAAAGCCTGATAAAAGTCTGCTTGAATGGCATTTTGTAGATAAACGTGGGGGCTTTTTGTTGACCTTTTAATTTTATAATTTATCCATTAATTATTGCTCATGACTATCTATGTTGCTGATCTCATGCTGCTGATCTGTTTCATGCTGCTGTGTTCATTCGTACTCATCTGCTCACACAGACTCATGTTCGTGCTGCTGTTGTTCGGCAGATTGTTTTAGTGCTTAGAGAATTCTTAGTTTAGTGTATTTCTTAGTTCTTATCTTAGATCTTATTACTGTTTTTCTTTTACAATTTATACTTTTGCTGGATGTAATTGGGACCCTGTGTACAATTCCGTTCCAGCACATGTACCACATGAGGTGCGAATGACAATAAAGAAACCTTGACCTTGACTTGACCTTAACCTTGAATATAAGCTGGATCTGTCAAAATGCATCATTTAGGCACTGGGATATTTGAATTGTCTGCAACAAATGCAACATGGACTCTATTAGATATAGAATTGCATTTCAAATTATTCTGTAAATTTATTTTGAATAAATTGTGCACCCTACATGTATTTCAAACACTGTCACTTGAAAGACCTGTTGGCCTTGTGTAGATGAACAGATGCTGGGATATATTCATCATTTAACGCGGGTTCCTCATTTTTCTGGACTGAATAAAACGTGCATTGAATTTAAGGAAATGCAAAGTGAGACGTCATTTATATTTGACCCATCAAAATGAATGCGGTCATTTATTTACAGAATCAAATTTAACATCAAACATGTACATTAATTTGGCAAATTATGAAAATAACAACAAAGCCATCAATCAGGAAAAATCATACGGCCATGATTTTTCCGTTGCTGCACCAAAGACATTTATAAAAACTGTACAACTATGATCTTTTACCCACATGAATGTGGGTGAGCATTTTACACAGACATTTCTAAATATCTGGAAGAATTTCTACTTGATAGAAAAGTTTAAAGATGGAAAGAAGTTTAGAGGGAGTTAAGATGGTATGTGAGGGAAATTAAGTGTTCACCAGAATCGACACTCTCCGGCTTTCTTCAGCTTTTCCTTACAGTACACTTAGGTGATGAAATCGGCTCCTTTACCTGGAGATGTCTCAGGTGAGATTCCGTTTAACGCACCCTTTCAGCGTCTCAGTAGGATGCTGTTACTCGTCCGAAGTAATGGCGAGGCTCTGTTCGACACATATTCACCTCAGTGGAAAATGTTATAATCCCATGGAACTCGGAAGAGCTTTGTTGTCATGTCAGGAACTCCAACAGCACTCCATCAGAACTCAGCAGAGCTTGAGTAGACTCTCACCGAACTCTACGCTCTCAGAACTCTTAGAACTCCGACAACTCTCCAACTCCGAGAACTTTCCAACTCTGTACTCTCTGAGAACTTCAAGTAGATCAGGAAGTACTGACATTTTAAAGACTCTTTCCCGGTTCACTTTTTGGGATTTGTTCATTGGTCAGAAACGACCAGACGGGGTGGGTTTTGTGACGTAAGAGGTTAGAGACAGCGAGAATTTGTTATGAGACAGATCAGAAATGTTCTCACAGACCGAGAGGGTTTTGTTTTGGCGTGTTTCAGGAGACAGGTGCAAAACATCTCTACTTACGTCTGAGAGGATTCTAAAACATGACAGTTTTAACATAACAACTTGTTTTTCGTTTGACTGTAACCTTGTAAACGCACACACTTGCTCATTCAAAAGCAGAAATCAGAAAACTGCATAATTACTCTGTAACAGCTTTTAACATGAGTTCTAACTGCATGAGAATAAAAATCATTACTCAGTTAATAAAATTGATTAGTTCACTGCAACATCTAAAATGGTTTGAACTAAGACACTTTGATTATCAACATTTGTAAGATAGTAATGATAATAAAAAGAGAGTGTTCTTTTCACTTGAATCTTCAAGAAAGAAAGTCTCAGGATGGGTGAACCTGTATTTATGTATTCAAATACATGAAATGACAGTTCCTGTCCCACAAGGTTCTTAAGGTCAAGAGTTTTGACCTTAGACTTAGTTTTGACGTAGGCCTAGTCCACTACACTTGGTTATCCTCAGGCTTTCTGTGAGTAGCAAGTTGGCCATCTGGCCTAAAACATTTGATTGTTG